AGGGTGTCTAGAGCTCCGACCACTTTATTTCGGCACCGGCCCTTGTAATCCCCCCCCACCCCATTATAAATCACCATTCTCATCATCATCCACATCTCTCATCATGCGCACCCTCCGTCTCAGCGCCCCTCCCGCGCCCCAGCGCCCTGCCCAGTTTTGCCCCCTTTTCCGCCCGACCTACTTTATTTCGGCACAAGAACCACCCCCGGTCCGCACCCCTCCCCGCGCCGTCTCAGCGCCCCCGCGCGGCTTCAGCGCCCGCCCAGTGCCCCCTCCGCCTCGACTACTTTATTTCGGCACCGCACCCCCCCCCGCTCCGCCCCCTCCCCCGCGCCGTCTCAGCGCCCCCCGCGGCTCCAGCGCCCGCCCAGTGCCTCCTCCGCCCCGACCACTTTATTTCGGCACCGCACCCCCCCTCCCCGCTCCGCCCCCTCCCCCGCGCCGTCTCAGCGCCCCCGCGCGGCTCCAGCGCCCGCCCAGTGCCCCCTCCGCCACGACCACTTTATTTCGGCACCGCACCCCCCCTCCCCGCTCCGCCCCCTCCCCCGCGCCGTCTCAGCGCCCCCGCGCGGCTCCAGCGCCCGCCCAGCGCCCCCCTTCCGCCCGCCCACTTATTTCGGCACGTCTTCAGCCCCCCACCCCCGCTCGACGCCCCTTCCCCCGCCCGCCCCCCCTCCCCCCCCCCCCCCCTCCGTCTCAGCGCCCTCCCGCGGCTCCAGCGCCCGCCCAGCGCCCCCTCCGCCCCGACCACTTTATTTCGGCACCGCACCCCCCCCCGCTCCGCCCCCTCCCCCGCGCCGTCTCAGCGCCCCCCCGCGGCTCCAGCGCCCGCCCAGCGCCCCCTCCGCCCCGACCACTTTATTTCGGCACCGCACCCCCCCCCCTCCGCCCCCTCCCCCGCGCCGTCTCAGCGCCCCCCCGCGGCTCTAGCGCCCGCCCAGTGCCCCCTCCGCCCCGACCAATTATTCGGCACCGCACCCCCCCCCCTCCGCCCTTCCCCGCGCCCGTCTCAGCGACCCCACGCGCTCTAGCGCCCGCCCAGTGCCCCTCCGCCCGAAACACTTTATTTACGGCACCGCACCCCCCCCCCCCGCTCCGCCCCCTCCGAGCAGTCTCAGGGCGCCCCCCCGCGGCTCCAGCGCCCGCACAGTGCCCCCTCCGCCCCGACCAACATTATTTCTGGACCAACCGCACCCCACCCCCCGCGCCGCCCCCTCCCCCGCCGACGTCTAGCGCCCCCCCCCGGCTCCAGCGCCCGCCCAGTGCCCCTCACCGCCGACCACTTTATTCGGCACCGCACCCACCCCCCCCGCTTCCGTCCCTCCGCGCCGTCTCGTCGCCCCCCGCGGCTCCAGCGCCCGCCCAGCGCCCCCTCCGCCCGACACTTGATTTCGGCCACCGCAACCCCTCCCCCCGCCTCCGCCCTCCCCAGCGCCGGTCTCAGCGCCGCCCCCCCGCCGGCTCCAGTCGCCCCCGCCGTCCCGAGTGCCCCAGCCCCGCCCCGAACCATTTGATTTCGGCACCGCAACCCCCCTTCCCCGCTCCGCCTCCTCCCCGCGCGTCTCAGACGCCCCTCCGCACGGTTTCCAGCGCCCGCCAGGGCCCCCTCCGCACCCGGACCACTTATCATTTCGGCACCGCCCCCCCCCCCGCGCCCCGCCGCCTCCCCCGCGCCGTCTGAGCGCTCCCCCGCGGCTCGAGCGCCCGCCCAGTGCCCCCTCCGCCCCGACAACCCCCCCCCATCCTCCGCCCCCTCCCCCACACGTCTCAGCGCCCCCCACGGCTCCAGCGCTCGCCCAGCGCCCCCTCCGCCCCGCCCACTTTATTTCGGCGCCGCAGCCCCTCCCTGCCCCGCCCCTTCCCGGACACCGCATCAGCGCCCTCGGGAACCCGCCAAAGGTCTTTGAAGCCATATTGCGGGGGACGGCCCTTGGAGTCTCCTCGCGCTCGCCCTCTGGAGCCCCTCTTGCGGCCCTGTTTTGTTCGCTCCTTCTGCGATTTCTGGCATTCCCCCCCCCCCCCCCCCGCCTCCTCCACATCCTCCTCATCCCCCTTCCTTTTTGTGCAAGAGCCACGGCACACGTGCCACTTGTTATTAGTATCATTATCAGTATTATTAGTATTATTGGTTTTATTATTCAATTTTGTTTTATTATTATTATTAGTAGTAGTAGTATTAGTATTAGTACTAGTATTATTATTAATTCTAATAATAATAATAATAATGATTATGATTACTGCTGTTATTATTAGTATTATTAATATTGTTGTTATGAATAATATTATGTATCATAATAATACTTGTATGTCTATTATTGTTATTCTCCCTCTTCCGAGTATGTTTCGTATTAGTATTGGTATTATTAATATTAGTATTATTCTTCTACGTATTACTATTATTCGTCTTAGTATTATCATTCTTCTTATTATAATAATAATAATGTTTATTAATATTAGTATCATTATTAGTAGTACGACTATTAATAGTAGTATTAGTGATAGTCGTATTATCAATAGTATTATTATTGTTTGTAGTATTATTCTTCTTAGTATTAGTATTATTCGTACTACTATTAGTAGTCTTGGTATTCTTATTATTAATATCCATATTCGTTTTCGTATCATTCTTCTTATTATTATTACGATTACTAGTGTTATTCTTATTATGATTAGTCGTGTTGTGCTTCTTCTTATTATTCGTATTATTAATATTATTAGTATTCGTCTTCTTCTTAGTATTATTATTACTAGTATTAGTGGCATTACGATTCTTATTATTATTCGTGTTATTATTGATACTGTTCTTAGTAGTATAAGTATTCTTCGTATTCGTATTTGTATTATTAGCATTCTTATTCGTATTACTATTAGTATGAATAGTATTCGTATTAGTATTAGTCTTAGTAGTCTTCTTATTCTCCTTTTTATTGGTAGTATTACTCCTACTAGTATTATTTGTATTTTTATTGCCTGTAGTATTATTACTGGGATTCATAGTATTCTTCGCCTTGTTGTTCGTAGAAGTGTCATTATTACTATCATTACTACTCATACTAATAGTATTAGTATTAGTACTGTCAGTCGTATTATTATCATTAGTGATAGTGGCATCATCATCCTCCGCCTTCGTATTATCCTTAGTATTATTGATAACATTAGTATGATTAGTCGTCTTAGTATTATTCGTCTTATTCGTATTATGCTTATTCGTGTTCGTACTCGTCTTATCATCATTATTACTAGTATTACTATTATTCAGAATATTCCTCATCAACCTCCTCCTCCCCCTCCTCATTCTCCTCATCCTCCTCATGGGCAGATCGCCCGCGGCCCCCGCAAGCTCCCGCCAGTCGGCAAGCGGGTCAGACCAAGCTGAGCGATCTCCAGCAGCAGCGAGCGCGGGGGGCTGCAGCGGCTCGGCACGGCGAGGGGGCGGCGAGCGCGACGGAGAGGTCCAAGGCTGTCTGCTCGAGGAGGCGGCCTGCAAAGAACTGGCCGCGCCCGCGCAAGCATCATCAGCACGGGCGCCATCATCACTCGGCCTCATCGCAGAGCCGCAGCGTCGCGAGCTGCACCCCCTCCAGGGGGGCGGGGGCGCGAACCGTTGATCCCGCCCGCGCTCCGCCCCCTGCCGCCACGGCGCCGCGGGCGACCGCGACCTGCCCCCCGAAGCGCCCCCGCCGCGGCCGCCGGCCCCTCTGGCCAGAAGCTGCGGCGCTCGGGGCTGCGGGCCAGCGCGACCCGCCTCGGGCGAGGGCTGTCGCCGCGCGGGGCCCGCTCGCCGCGCGGCGAAGGGGGGCGCGCGGGGCCGCTGGAGGGCGCCGCGGCGGGGCCGCTCACGGCAGCGGCCCCCTCCGTCAGAGCCCGTGGAGCGGGAGCGTGGCTGGCCGCGCGCAAAGGGAAGGAGCGGCCCCTCCCGCGGCCGCGCCCTCTCCCTCGACCGCGCACGGGCTGCCTCGCGGTCTGGGGCGCACGAGGAGGGGGCGAGAGCGGTCTCGAGCCGCCCCCACGTCCTCTCCTCGGGGCAGCCCCTCGCATCGCCGCGGGCGGCGCTGCTGAAAGCCCCGCGGTTCGTTGCCTCCTGCAAGCGCCTGCGCAGCACTGCCGAGCGCCGCGCCAAGTCCTGCTCGCCCATGGATGCTAGCGACGGCCTCGCGTCGGGCGCGATCTCCAGCTCGCTCGCAACTTGCCAGCTCGCGCCCGACAGCGAAAGCTCCAGAGCCTTGAACCGCTGCATCAGCACGTCGCACACCTGCGCCAAGGATCCGGACCTTGGTGGGCCCTGGAAACGACAGGGCTGTTTTTTAACCTGTTCCATTTTGCCGTTTTCCTGCTGGTTCCGACGCCGTTGTTTACCGGTTCCGTCGCCGTTCGTTGACTGGTCCCGGCTCCTGTTCCAATCCTGACGCCTTTTTTTCTGCCGTTTCTGGTCGCCGTTTTTTTTTGCCGTTTCCATTTTCCAATGACGTTTTTGAAACTGCGAGAAAACGGCCCTGCCGTTTCTGGGGCCCACAAAGACCCGGACTCCAGCAGATCCAGCGCCGTCGCGAGCGCCTGCAGCTCCCGCACCGCGTTGACCGACAACTGCGACACGGGATGGTGACCGAAGACGATCGCCTGCAAGTACCCGACTACCTTCGGACGTGTCTCGCTGCCGTCCGCCCCCCCCCCCCCCACAGGCTCATCACCCGTGCGATGCTCTACATCGCTTCGTCGTAGAAGGCGCCGGGTGACCTCTCCGCCAGCAGCCTCACACTGCCGCCGCGGGAGGGGGCGTCGCGAAAAAGAGGCTCCCCATCGCCGTCACTGCGACTAGCCGAATCGCTCCGCTGGCGGCGTCTGCCGCGGCCTCCGAGCGCGCGAGGAGCAGCACCTCCCCCGCCTTCAGCGCGGGCCGCGGCAGCTGCAGCAAGGCGATCCGCAGCCGCACCTCCAGGCAAGGGACCCGGCGCGCAGCGACCGCCGCCACCGCCCCAGCCGCCGAAGGCGGTGGGCCGAAC